TTGGAAAAGCCATGAGTCAGATGACAGGTGACATCATTGAACTTTGCCTTTCTTCAGACAGCTGATGGTGGGGGGAGGAGTGGGAGGTAGAATCTTTCTTGTGGAGTGCACGTTGCTGCTATCACTACAGACCTTTGCTGTTATAGTTGGTATTGTTAGTTGGGAAAATTGTGCTACCCATAGGGAATAATGCTAGTGATCATTTCCCACATCCATCAGTTGAATATTTACCAAGGAGCTCCTCCCGTGTAAATATTTACATGGCAGGATGCGAGGGAGCTCAGGTCATGTGAATAGCTCTAACATATGGCCTCTGAACTACACAAAGAGTGTGCAGTAGGGGAGACTAGCTAAACACACCTCCCCACCATCACCACCGAAAAGGGTAAAAGAAGCAATGAGTTCGGTCATTGTCTACCACTGAGCTCAAGGAACATATGCCCCAACATGGAATGTCAGTCTGTTTCCTCAGTAGTTCCCCATTCCTAGGTGCTTCTGGGAGTGTTTCACCTTGATAAATGTCGATCACTGTGTTTAAAAATATTTTCATTATATAATAATTATGAACAGCTATATACCAGAGACTGGAGTGGGGAGTGGGATCAAGAACAGGGAAATGCACTGGACTATGGTGATGACACATGGGTGATTTGGTGATGGGAAGACCATGGGGATTGCAACTGAGGTGAAAAAATGCACAAAATGATGTAAAAACAAACTATTTTATTATTTAAAAGAAAGTATTTTCATTCATTGTGTTAGAGTAACACAAGCCAGTTACTTTAATCTGGTGCTAATGGAAAAACAGCAGTTGGAAAGAAAAATTGGGTTCGTTGGACACTGAAAATTATCAAGTCAAAATAATGTTTCTTATAGGTGCTTTAGGATTTCTAAGAGTAATTCACGTAATAATTTATGTGTATGTTGTTGACTTTAGAATTACCTTAATTGAGGGTAACTTTATTTGATAAACACTGAGTGTGTAAATAGTATGAAACATGGACATTTGGTCCAATCACAAGAGAGAATTTCCAACCAAGTTATCAAAGTTAAAAAGATGAAAATGGGTTAGCTTCAATGACATTTTTTTTTATCAAATAAAATCACATAGTTGCAGTAGCAGATTAAAGGGGGAGGAGAATCATATTCTGCTCAATGGGTACAAAATAAGCATTTGATAAAATTATCCTCAGGATTTAAACATTCCTATCTGCCTTGGAAGGGGATCTAGTAGTGTTGTTACTGAAAACCAGCAGTCGTCATGCTGCAATTCAGAGCACCCTGAGGGTGTACCCTGAGGGTGTACTCTGAGGGTGTACCCTGAGGGTGTACCCTGAGGGTGTACTCTGAGGGTGTACCCTGAGGGTGTACTCTGAGGGTGTACCTCGGCACTGAGTTACAGGACAGCGGCCAGCTCTTCACTGCTACTCAGTTTTGAAATAGAAGTCCTAGCTGGTCAAGTTAAACAAAGAAGGAAGAAACAAATCTGTCATTTTTCTAAGACAGTGCCTTTGTCTGGTTGGAAACCCGAAAGACTAATATCTTCAACGAACTTATTAGCTTTTGAAGAGTTTTCCAGAACCCATTACATTTCTACACATCCTCAAACTGGTAGGGCAAAACTGATAGAGAGACCTATATGTTCGTAGATGAAACGTCAGTTTGCTAACGATATTGGCTCTCCCTGAAGTTGAGGACTGGAGATGATCTTGTTTCTTTTTTTAATTTTGACATGACTTTATGTGGAGACAAAACAGCCAAGAATAACCCTTATACTCCTGAAAAGTAGGGGTGGCAGATGGGCCATGTGTGACTTGTCTTACCAGGTACCAAAAGTTATTATTTAGCTAAAATAATTAAGGTGCTGGCACAAAGTCGAGGCGCCTCAGCCTGGTCTTTATGTGGAGGCAGCTGATGAGAGCAATGCTAGGCAGTTGACGGAGGAAGGGTAGACTTTTCAACAAATAACATTAGGACAGTTAGTTACTCTGTTGTTGCAATGAAGTTTGATCTGTGCTTCACACTGCACACAATTTTAGGCTGCGTTAAATATGAAATGTGTACATTGTTTATAAGATATTACAGAACAGTCATTATTGCATAGTTTAAGGAAAGGATTTTTTTTTTAATTACACTCCAAAAAGTGCAGAACCTCAAGGTGAAAACTGATCAGTTTGATTTTATTCAAGCTAATAACATCTCTGTGATACCATGAAGATAGAGTGGGTTGTTTTCTTTGTTCTTAAGCGCTTTTAAAGAAACCATTTTTTTTAAAGATTTGTTTATGTTTGCATATAGAACTGGGATACAGGCCAGAGGGGCAGGGGCGGTGAGCCGTTTCACCAGAGACAGAGTAGAGAGCAGAACAGGCCAACTGACAAAGAATACTGCTGAGGGGACCTGGGGGCAGGCCAGGAGAGGTCTGCCGTGCCATATGGATCCTCCAGGGCGGGGATCGAACTCATGCGGAAGTGGCTTTAGCTTCTTAGTGCTGTGCTTTAACCCACTGTGCCACCAGGGAGGGCCCTGAAGAGGTGGTTGTCATTGATTTTTTGAAAGTCTCGACATGTTCTAAAGATCGTTTTCTGAAAAGATCACTTGTTAAGTATGTAAGTAAGTATATCTCTGAGTATGACTTTCCTTATAAGTTAATAAATCACAAAACAATCTGGTGAAGGAACTGGTAACACTGAGAACCAAAAAATTAGTATCTAGATATGAAGCAACGAAAAAATCAATTTCTAAAAAAATCAGTTTCTTAGATGTTAAAAGTATGATCAACAAAAGAAAAAACAGGCAAACCAGATAAGTATCAAAATTTCTAAAATGTCTGTCTTAAGAAACTTTTTCAGTAGTAAAACAGGCCACCTAGCGGGAAAACATATTTGGAAATCACATGTGAAAGTGACTTGTATGTAGAATGTGTAGGGAAATCTTAGGACCCAGTAATAAAAAAGACAACTTTTTTTTAAGTGGGCAAAGGATCTGAAAACACATTTTTTTCCAAAGAAGATATGTAATGCCAGTAAGCCTGTGACAAGATTCTTAACATCCTTCGCCACTGGGGAAATGCAGATCAGTACCACAGCAGAATACCACTTCACACCCATCAGGATTCTGCTGTAATCTAAAAGATAGACAATAATGTGTTGGCAAGGATGTGAGAAACTGGAGCCTTCCTACTCTGCTGGTGGGAATGTCGAGTGGTGCAACTGCTTTGGAAAATGGTTTGGCGGTTACTCCAACAATTAAACTGAGTTACATTCTCCTCCTATATGTAGACCCAGGAGAAATGGAAACATGTCCAAACACAAGCTTGTCCATGGTTATTTATCACAGCACTAGTAGCCAAGAGGTGGAAACAACCCAATTGCCCATGAACTGATGAGTGACTAAGTAAATGGGCTATTATTATTCAGCCATAAAAGCCAGGTAAAGCTGATGCATGCTGGGCACAGATGGCCTTGCTGTGCTGGGGAAAGAGCCAGACACCAAGGACCACACTGGAGGATTCCATTCATGTGAAATGTGGTTATTAGCCTCATAACCTGAGGCATGAGATGTGTGGGGTTGCCCAGAGGTGTACTGGGCTTCATTTTCTTTCAGAGAAAATGAGCTAGAATTGATTGTGCTGATGGACACACCCCTCTGAATATACTAAAAGCTGCTGAAATGTTCACATTCAATGGGTAGGACATATGGGATATGACTCATATAGCAATAGTTATATTTAAAACATCAGTAAACAGTAACTCTACTCGTGGGAAAATAAAGCAAAAAGTCATGTTGAGACAGTTTGCAGAAGAGAAAAAACACGTGCATACAATCGTGACTTTCAGAGATGCTCAGCTTCGTTCTTAATTGGGGACATGCTAGTTAAAACCGTGGTAGGAGACCATTGTAGACTCACTTGATACACAAAAATTTTAACTCAGGCAGTCCCACTCCTGCATGGGTAAAGGAAGTGGAGCCCTGAGGGAGCTCCACCCCTGCCTTCAGGGGTGTGAACTGGTACAACCACTTTGGAGAATAATGCAAGATATTTAGAGAGTTGAAGATGCAAGTATTCCTGACCCTACAGTTCCACTTTTACATGTAACCTAACAGTTCTTCCAGTTGGGGTTTGTATATACACAAATATGCTTTAGTTCTCAGCATAAAATAAAATTCAAAACCACATGAACAATATTTAGGGAGATAAGCATATATAATAAACAAATGTGTTTACAAAAAGCAAACAAGGGTCTCCCTGGTGGTGCAAGGGTTAAAAGTCTCAGTACTATCAAGGTATCACCAGCCACTGTGGCATCAGTTTGACCCCCGGCCAGGGAGCTGACCCACATGGCACAGCAGACTCTCCTGTCTTACTCACTGGTGGTCTCAGCAGTGTATTTCAGTGGATATACCTGTTCTGCTCCCCACTCTGTCTCTGGTGAATCCTCTCATCACCCGCTCCCCTCCCATACACACACAAACACACCCCTCTGGCCGATACCCCAGTTTTTGTATGCATAAGTAAATAAAATAAATCTTAAAAAAATAAAAATGAAACAAGGGAAAAGTAAAAAAAAATCATGATAATAGAACTAGGGAGGAATTGAGAGGGGAGTCAGAATAACAATAATGTTCCTTTTCTTCAGCCAGGTGGTGTGTGACATAGGTGTACATTGTGGGGAGTGGGGGGGGGGTGCAGTGGGGAGAGAGCCCAACATTGAGGAGAAGTCTGGACCTCTGAAGTTTACATGGATTTGTTAGTTTTCCCATACAGCTCGTGTTGAATGCTAGTAATGCTGACCTGGAATTTCTAGAAAAGGTTAACTTCACAGAAAAAGAAGAAAGGGAAATCTTAGAAATATCTCCAACAAAAGTGATTAAAATGAAAAATCTTCTACTTCAGAAAGGTGAACGTGGCTTACCTGGACCACAATTTTGCTACCTTCAGAGCTGCAACCTAAGCCAGGGGACTCCATCACTGAGTGGTCCTCTCTTCTCTCTTTCAGACCCTGCCCATACTAAAAGATGAATCACAAGCCCAAGGAGGAAGAACCTGTTCACTGCTCCTGCCACTCCTGGGCGTGTGACTGAGGGGAAGCACCCACCAGCGCTGCAGGGGTCCAGAGTATTTTTGGCTGCCTCAGTCCCCAATGCCTTCAAGCAGAAGTGGCAGCAGATCGTTGCCCATCAGCCAGTCCACAGGAAACACATCAGCTGGGTTTTGGTGGAACTTGGATGGCAGCGGGGACATTTACCAGATGCATTATATACCCTGTCAGACGCATGTGTATCTTTTACCTGTTACCCGCCCCAACCCGCTTAGGTCCTCTGTCCCTCTCCTGCTACCACACAGAGATGATATAAAAGAGGCTCTTTGGCTATTTGCATCTGCTTCCTCTTCTTTTCCAGGATTGAGCTTTATTTTCTACAAGCCTAAAATCCCAACCATATTATCTACCAACGCTGTTCTTTTTCAGAGGTCTGGGGGAAGAGGCTCACGGGGCTCACAGGTTTCCCAGAGAGTGGAGGAAAGTCGTGTGCCATTGCCCACATGAGCCATGGTAAAGACACCCTTTGGAATTACTGATTTCTAAAATTAATAAATCATTGTATTTTTCTTTTCTTTTTTTTCCCCCATTTACTAATTTCCCAACAATCAGTATTCACAAACAAGAAATGGGAGCAACTCCTCGTTTTATTTCATTGCTGGGCAATTTTTTAACCTTCATTTTAGAAATGTGAGCTCTAAAGAGATGTTTGCTTCTTACATTTTGTTTCAGCAGATGGTAGGTTCAGGCTGTTCCCAAGACTTGCTCCCACACCAGGGAAGCTGGTAGGTGCAGTGTCTTGCTGTCAGACCACAGGGCACGGGAATCCTCATCTAGCTGCAGTGGTTATGTGAACAGCCCCTAGCTTTCTCCTTGACCCTTCGCTCTCTCACTCCCTCATTTTTCCGAGGTCCTCTCTCTGGCTTCTGCTGGAGAAAAGGTTGCAAGGGGCCGCAGAGCACACTCAAGTATTGCCCTAGCTGTCCTGGGGAGTTGTTGGGTAAGAATCCAGAAGCTAGGATTTCTACAAGGTTCTGCAGACTCAGCATTAAAATCTCAAAAGAAAGATGACACCCAAAAAGGTAGGGAGGAAAGGGACTTTATTCTCCCTGGTAGTGGCTGAAAACAAAGGTTGGAGCCATTGAAGGAATGTGTTTGCTCATGAAGGACAAAGTATATTGGATGAAGGAGAGAAGACAGAATGTATCCCAGATGTTCCTGGAACTTCTGGCTAGTAGTTTGCTAACTTGGTTGTGAATTGGTTAGGAGACAAATTAGAATTCCTTCATAGTCCCCTGTTGATATACTGAATTGAGAAATAAAGCGTTGGGGAGAATCACTATACGGATCTTGTGAAAAAGGGGGAGAAGGTATGAGCCCAGCAAAAGTATTTTGGCCATCTAGAATGCTTGGAATAGCCTGTGGTAACTAGTCAAAATTGATCCCGCAAGCCAATTTCTTATTTTGTTTATCATGTGCTACCCAGGTAGAAGACCAGACTGGAACTCTCCCCTGCCTTTCCCCAAGTCCTCTCAAGTCCTTTTACTACTACCAGCTTCTCTTATTATAAACATCATATAGCCCCTCCAACAGCAGTGCCCCCCAAAGCAAGAGTGTAATTTTGAAGATGGACAGACAGTGGTTGAGGTTTCTGTAGTGCCAGCCGGTGGCACAGTAACTGGAAGGAGAAGGCCGGACCTGCCGCCTGCCCGTATTTGTATCTGCTGGTAAGATTAGAACGCGGACATAAAACAAACAGTTGGAATCACAGTGTGTTCTGTTTTCTTTGGGATACTTTAGGAGACATGTCTCATGGCTCATTAGGCTGAATCACAGGCCAATATTTTAATGATGTCCTATGAGGTTGCACAAAAAGTTTTTTTTTTTTAGCACGAGAATGATTATGTCCTCCTTTAAGCCTCCAGAAGGACCACTAATGTGAGCTATAATGCACTGCTTCGCAGAGTATACCTTTTATACAACCAGTCCCTACCCCAGTGCTGAAAACAGCTAGCGCTTTGGCCTGGATTATACATTTTTTATAAACATTTTGGTGCCACAAGTGTGTACTGTGAAACTGGATAGCAGTGGCCCATAGGTTAAGCTCTGGGCACACACACACCCATCCCTAGACCCACTGTTTCCCTTGGGTGAGATGGAATGCCACCCCACCAGCTAGGATCTGGGCTAGGGATGTGCTCCCCCCACCCCGCAGAAAGTATGGTGGAGGCGAATGGATGTCACATGGCTCGGAAAAGTCTGAATTGATTGAGTATGGACAGAGCAGGAAAAGTTCTTGGTGACCAAACTCAGAGGCTCAATTTGGGAAACTCCAGAAGGAAGAAGACACATACATACCTACACACACACACCTGCAACTTTAACTTCAGGTCAGCTTCTTTTACCTTTACTAATAAAGGGATTTCAATAAAGGAACAAGTTCAGTGTCAGGTTCAGTGCTGGACAGTTCCCAGCACTGCAGGTGGATGTTTCAGGGGTCGCAGGATTTCTGTGGCTCTGGGGTCTATGACCTGAGAGTCACAGGACTGTGTTCTTTCACTCTCCCATCCTCAAGCATAGACATCAGCTCATTGCCTTAAAGGGACTCTTGATGAGCTCTTTTAGGTTTATCCTGATGAGAGACTTAGCCTCATTTTCTTAGGCCATTTGCCACAGAAATTCTTTCTAATTCTTAACTTATTGGGGGTAAGATGAGACCTTCAAAAATGATGATGTTGGTGATAGGCAGAGAAGGTACAAATCACCTTCCACATGCAAAGGGCCACACCAAGTTCATAAACTTTCTGCAAATAAGAGCTACTGCCTGTATGTCTAAGAATAAAACACTCTGCAAGAAGGAAGGGAACAGGGCTGTGATTTTCTCAGGTGGCAGAAAACATGCCCCTGCCCAGGACATTCACACTGAGCGATCAGAGGTCTGCGATTCTCTGCTGGGACCCCAGCTTCCTGGAGTAGTCCATGTGGGCATGAAGTTAAGAAAAGGGTAACTACATTTACCAAGTCAAGTTGACACCTGAAATTAAGACTTTTACTGTTTTAGAAACAATCTTCCAGAAGATGAAATGATCCGAGAGTCCCCAAAAATATTTATTTATACAAAGATTTTGAGAGTAATATTTGTACGTCTTTCTACCTCAGTCTGTGCGTCTAGGGCCACGTCATCGTGTGCACATAGCGGCCTCACACGTTGTAGCACCTGCTTCCAGGAACACCAGATGAACACAGGGTCTTGGGGCGGGGGACCCCTTAATACCCCAAGGCAGCACAGACCTCAGATGCAGATATGTGCACCCTGACCTGGAAGGTGTCTAGCCAAATGTCCAAGGGGAAATGCTATTGAGGAAGGAGGCAAGAGGGAGCCAGAGGGCAGGCGGGAAAGGGTTAATTCTCACGCCCTGCTGGGAGTTCAGCACATCCTTAGGGCCCAATAAACTTGATGGCTGGGAATTACATACCTAGATTCTCCCTCCCCGCCCCCCCCACCCAGCCCCTCCCCCCCCCCATGATCCTTGATGCTGACTGATGTTGAGAGGACAATTTGCAAAAATAATAGATTTGTCCTTAATCCCCAGTAGGATGAGATGCAATCCCAGGCCTTTTTCGTAGCAATCTGTCAAAGGAAAATGCTGGTCTCGTCGACTATAATCCAGACTCCCTAGAGCAGATGTGGAGCAGCGATGAGCGAACCTGACCTCAGATCAGAAGCGTCGTCCAGTCTGGCCCGTGCCGGCCACTCTGCCCTTCCTGCTCCCCGGGGTATGCCTGTCCCTCTGCCACGCGATGTGTCCACTTGCAGTCCCTCTTCCTCTGTCCCCACCGCCTCTTGTCTACATCACAGAAAGTCTGTGTGTTCTGAAGAATTCGGCCTTCCTCCAACCAAACCCACTTTCTTTACCACAGTGATTTCTCAGAGCCAGCAAAGAGAGAAGTGTTCCGAAAGGGAACCTCCATCTCAGCCATTTGCCTGGAGCTGAAAGTTGCGGGCTCCTGGCCTCGAGGCGAAGTCTGTTGGTTTTTGTGTTTCCCCGAGGACAGGCAGGCAGGCGTGGCACTTCTCTCTCCTCTGTCCGGCTGGGCTCAGCTACACTTACAGGACTTCACCACCATGTTCGAGAGCTGTTCCACCTTGGGGGTCCTCCCAACATAGTACAGAATGGTCAGAGGCTCCAAGTCCTGGGGCACACAGCATGGCGAGGCAGACGCTTCTGGGTTCAGGGTGTTGTACAGCCCCAGCACCTGCGGGGGAGAGCACACCATGCAGAGGCCGCAAGCCCAGCTGCAGGCCCCGCGCCCTGAGAACCTACTTCTAGGAGCTCCCAGGGGTAGATGGGCCTCGGATGCTAGCTGGGAAGAATTACCAGGAAGTAGTTTGGGGGAGTGCCTACATGCTGTTCAGCCACAGAGAAGAGTGCAGAGCACCCACACCTGTCTTGAGGTGTCATGCGTAAGACAGTGGGGAACTGCATTGAGAATGAAATTCCCTGAACCCCCCTGAACTGGTTATCTTGACTAGCACCGATTGCTTTAGTGAGCATTGCCGAACCACTGAGCAAGTGTCAGTGAGGGGTCCCCAATAGGAGGTAGCAAGCATGAGCTGCAAGAAAACTGTCCCACTTTTTATTCCCTTTGAGGAAAAGACAAGATGGTGTCTGCAGCAGGAACTTCCCCTCTCCATATTAGTTTCCCCTCTCCATAGTTTCCACCAGTGAGCTTCACACTTTCTTCCAACACTTCCTACACTCCTGAGGCTGGAATTGTGACACTTCTTTACTGAGGATAGAAGCCTGCCCGCCCGCCCACCTTGTCAGCTGCAGGGTGGGGTAGCTGGTCCCCAAAAACAGCAAGGACAGAACGTGACCGAGTGGAGTTGGCAGAGACCCAGGGTGGCGCGGAACCTCCCCCACAGGCTCTTCCTCAGCCCAGGTGGCTCACTCACTCAACAGGCAGCCCCGGCACACTCTGTGACAAGCAGCCTGGTCAGCCCAGCCCCCAGGCCCCGTAGGAGACAGCCCAGCTCCATACCGTGCTGTGGGTCGTGTCTGCGCTGCGAAGGTATGGGCAAGGGCCCGAACAGAAGTTGGCATAGTAGCCCTTGGGCTCATGGACCCACTTCCAGCCCAGGTCCTGGCGGAAGTCGATGTACAGAGGGCGCACACAGCAGTTCTCCTCCAGGTTGCTACAACGAAAAGCCACAGAGAAAATAAGCCTCACATAAATCACAACTGGCCCTCACATGGGCACAGGAGCCCTTCCTGGTCATCAACAAAGGTGACTCTAGCCAAGGGGATTCAAGGGTCAAGTGCGCTGAGGTGGATAAACCATGCAGGTGTTTTCCTGCACTGAAGACCGTGAGCCCAGAGACCTACCAGACAGATATAGAGGATGTATGAAGAGAAAACAAGAACTGGCTCTGCCCCATTTTACATCAAGAACTAAACAGTTAAAGTGCTGCGCAAACCAAGTTCTGAGGGGTTTGGGCTGGCTCGGCTTGGTTAAGCTGTTTTATCGTCACCTCCCCAACACGCACCCAAGTAGGAATGAGCTCTAAGCTCCCACAGCTTGTGAGCTCTATAGTAGATGGCTGCTAGAGGCCACCCAGCCAAAACAGCCTTCCACAAGGCCTGTGATTCCTAGATCACCCAAAATGTAATAGTTAGGGGGAACGGATGTCCTAAAGGAACTCTGCGGAGTTTTGTGGACTCCACCCCCTACTCCAGTAAACTACAACTCCCAGCAGTACCAGGGAGAGAACTGCAAGGACCCAAGGGCGGAGCTAAGCAGGCATTCTGGGACTTTGGGGGAGATAAAAGGGAGCCAAGTGAGAAGCTCTGTCTCTCTGGACAGCGTGGTTCTCTCTAGGCCCCATGGCTCTCTGGACTGCGGGGCTGGTAGCTGGTCGCTTGGCTCTTGATGAGCTTTCAGTGTGTTATCGGAGTTCCAAGTCAGCAGAGCTGGTAGGATGTTCTAGTTAACTGGCATCTCTCTCTCTCTTTCTCTCTCTTTCCCTGGGTTGTACCTTTTCCATCCCCCTTTGTAAATAAACCCATTGTTGACCTTTTTGTGTGTGTCTACAGTACAATTGAATTTTAGGCGTGTGGGTGAAGACCCACAGACAGGCACCCAGTTCACATTGGGTTGCCCTGTAACATAATTGCCAGGCCATTTCTGCTGCCTGCAGAAGTCCAGTGGAAGAGTTTCTTTGCAGTTCATGCTTGCTGCCTCCTATTCCCTTTGTCAACTAGGCATCTCCCTTGTTCTTCAGTATGGGTTGAAACCTAGAATTTGCCACTTCCAAAAGTAGTTGTTTAAAATCTGGCTTCTTGGAGTTTCCCAAGGTAAAACAGAGCAAGCACTCTTGGCCATCTATCTATTCAATAGCCATTCCTATTCCCCCTTCTCCCTTCCACCTCCTACACACATTCTAGAACCCCAGACACTTGTTTCCCTGGCCTCCCTTGCAAATAGGGTTAGTCATGGCCTCCAGAATTCAGGGAGTGAGGGAGAACTGGTAAAAGTGTCCGAGCACTAATGAGCAGTCACAAAGGGAATAGGGAAGCACTGGTTTCTTCTGCAGACACAGACGTGGACAGGAGGATGGAAAGCCAGCATGGCATGCATGACAGACTGGAGGAGCAGAGAAGGCCCGTGTCCTCGATGGCATCGTTAAGCAGTCGCACCCCCGCCCCACAGTCCTCTGCGGCTTAAGCCCCTGCCGCTTGCAGCCAAGAACTTCGTTCTGCACTGATGAAGAGCCACACAGACATCCACGTGGCAGCCTGCAGACAGCTGCCTTGCCTTCAAGTTTGGTTTCCCAAGCTCACTATCCCTCTTCATTCAGAAATTCCTCAAGACAGGTGGCATCTAGGTCCAAAGAGTTCCCAGTTCACTCTCCCCAGCTCCGTTCAGGCCTCCCACTCCACAGCCAGCCTGACCCATTCATGCTCACCACAAGCTTCCCTCGCCCACATCCCTACCACACCATACTCCTCCTCCAAGACTTCACGCAAATTCAACACCCTTTGGATGCTTTCCTTGTGTCCATAGCTGATGTCCTCCCTCCACATACTCAAAGCTGTTCTGCCTTCACATTTACACATGAAGGGGTCATTGTTTGTCTTTCAGTTACAGCTCTGCAGGCCTTATCATTTCCCTTCCTTGAACACGAGAAGCTAACCTGCTCCTAAATAAAGGAAGAGGGAAGAGGGTCTATCTCGTTACCATGGCCAGCCAACTTCTGAATTAGTTAATTAATTTCTCCTTCTTCCCCTGCAAATGGAGATTTTACCTTGTTTGTTAGCATTCTTGCACACTTCATCAGAACGGAGTGCTTCCTTATTGGCGATTCCTGTGTCTATCCCTCCCTGACCCCTGCCTCCACCTCCGCAACCCGACACAAGCACACCTGAAAAGTACTTTAACCCATGAGAACTATGAAGAGATCAAGCCAAGACTCTTGATTCAAAATATTTTAAAAGGCATTTACTCAATCCATTCCTGCACATAGCTAGGCAGCAGAAAAGCAGCAGAGCTCTGAGAAAAACAGAGATTTGCAAGAGGCTCTAAATCTTTTTTCCTGGAGGGGTTCGTGGATAGCACCAGAGGCCTCCACCAAAGTTATTTCCAGGGTTCGTGGACCCCGACTGGGCCCAGACTCACCGGAAGCAATAATTGGTGTCCAGAGCCCTCTTCTTCCTCTGCCCACCCTGGCCCGGGTTGTCCAGCCGGTGTGGGGGGATCATCATGAGGATCAGATGGGGATTGTGGTGGTCCTTCTGCTTCTTAAGTCGCCCCAGATCTCCACGTCCATGGTCATCCTCACTGTCCACACCTGTGGAAGGAAAGGAAGACAGGACTAAGGCTGCTTTCCCATCCCATCCCATCACGTGGGGGAGACTCAGCTTCACGCGAACATCCCACAGCAGCAAGGGGAAGTCTGGGTAGAAGAACCAGCATCCGAAGAACCCATGAGAAGCCCCAGTGAGGTCCCTCCTGTGGGTACGTGGATCAAAGGACAGAGGCCCCTCCTGAGATGTTTCCCAGGGACCTTCCCAGATCCAGGAAGCAGCCTCGTCCCTAGGCAGCCACACACCTTTGGGCTGTCAGTGGATTGTGAGACTGAGAATCTAAGACTTTGAACCCGAGGCCTTTAATTGACTATGGCAGGAGGCACTTGCACTGCAGAAGAGGGTCTAGGACTGAGAGAAATGGGAGACTGGATCTCAAATCTCCTTTCCTGAAAATCTTCAGGAAGATTTACTGAAATGAGGCTTCATCCTAACGTGGCCTGTAGGTATGTACTCTGAAAGTCTTCCGAGCCCTGGGTTTCTGTGATTCAGGTTTGGTGGGTTTGGGTTTTGTTTTTTAGGAGGAGTAGGCTACACAGCAGTGCCCACAAGAGGCAAGTGGGTTGCCAGGGCCCTGCAGGCCCCTTCCCAGACAAGCCTCTAGCCTGAGGCCCTGGCGCGGTTAATTTGATCTTGTCAAACCATCTGACCTCAGGTGTGTCTTAATTACCCAAAATAGGGCAATGAAAGGAAAAGAGAAAGCCCTAGAAATCCACAGTAAGTCCAGGCTAAGTGCTTTAGAGACGTTAGAAAACCTGAACTGCCTCTCAACACTCTTTCACCGTTTGAACACACACACACACACACACACACACACACACACACACACAGAGCCCAGGGGCAATCGCTGAGACCAAATGACTCTTGGCTGAGGATCTGGTAGGCTTGACAAGGTCTGGAAAGCTCTGTTTCTTATTTGTTGCATCCAAAGTTCATTTCTTTTCTTTCTTTCTTTCTTTCTTTCTTTCTTTTTTTTAAGATCTATTTTTATTTACTTAGGCATGCAAGAACTGGGGTACAGGCCAGAGGTGCAGAGGGTGAGAGGATTCACCAGAGACCGAGTGGGGCACAGAACAGACGGATCTATTGAAATACACTGCTGAGGGAAGCAGTGGGTGTGACAGGAGAGGTCTGCTGTGCTACGTGAGTCACCTCCCTGGCTGGACATTGAATTTGTGCCAGAGTAGCTGGTGATAACTTGAGAGTGCTGAGATTTTAACCATTGGTTCACCAGGGAGTTCATTTTTTCAGGGAAGGGGAAAACAGTTATTTGCTGAGCATCCTGGCAGGTTTTTACATTTATCACATTGAAGTTGGCAAAGAACCCTGTGAAAAGGCCTCCTACAAAGTACATGCCACTGCAGTGAAGGAGCTCAAGTGGCTGAATCTGCCTGGGTGATGTCCCTGCTCTGAGCTGCTTGCCACAGTCTTCCAGAGCTAATGTGTTCTCTGTATCTATAAACTAAGCCACAACTATTGCTTCGGTAGCAAAGCAAAATGACTCTAATACAAAATGATTGTCATCTCTGTGACAGAGCGTGGGTCCTGGTCCAAGGTGTAACAGGGGTTTCTGCTCCATCTCCTTATGAGCTCCTCCCACCCACCCTCCCCCACACATCCACTTTGTTACCTTTGAATTTGATTTCCATCACCTCGTGAATGTTCTCCAGGATATCTCCATTGGGCTGAAAAGTGTGGCATGGACAGTGAATGCTGATTTCCAGGCCTAGGTTGGACTCTGCAAAATGAGACACAGAGTAGTTGAGAAAAGCACTCCATGTGATTTGGGAATGTGCCCTCCCCCCAGCCAGCACTCAGAGACTGTTATCAGGTGTCGCAGGAGACAGGAAGTGCCACGCAAGCCAGAGCGGGCCTACTGCTCTGGTTCCCTCCTTCCTGGGATTTCTGTTACGTCACAAACAACCAAATGGACACACAACTAGTAGCTATCATGAATCAGAATTCTAACACTGATCTACCTTCAAAGAATGGTACCATGCCACCTGCCCATGTGTGGCAGAAGAACCAGGATACAAGGGGGAAAGCTGACCCCACCTAGGGGTGGTTGGGAGAGGAGCTAGGAAGGAAGGACCAAAGGAAGAGACAGCAGACCTGGGGGAGATAGGGAAAACCTAAGACCTTTAGCGCAAAAGCAGTCACTCATAAGGCCAGATTGAAGAAGGGAGGGACATGCACCGTCGGAAACTTGGGATTAAAAGACCAGAGCTCGGTCATCGGTAGACGAGCAGGTGCAAGACGCCACCATGTCTATCAGGGGTATTTCTGCAGGTGTCAAGAGAGGGGTGGACTTGAGGGGAGACAGGATGAAAATCACAGAGCCACTGGGCCATAGTTTCCTTGAGGGACAAGGACATATAATGAGGTAAAGGTTACTTGCAGGTTTCTTGTTTCACCTTAATGAGGAAGCTGGAAATGTGAATAGCTCATGAGGATAAATGAGCACCCGGGCGGAGATGGCAAAGAGCCACAATGTTCAGATGACATTAACTCAGGAAAAGCACCCAGAAGGAAGCCTGGCAGTGCCAAGTTGCAGCTAATATTCTGGCACCCTTTCTCCCACTCATTGTGAGATTGTGTTTTAGTAACTGAAACTGGGGGAGCAAGAAAACTACTCAAAAGAAATCATGGGAAGTCAATTTTTAAAGGAAGATTAAGAACTAAGTGAGAAATTCAAATGTAGTCCAGTAGTTCAAGTGGGGAGACCAGGAATGTCTACTGGCATGTCAATTCCGGTAGGAAAGACTCAGCTAGGGAGCCCTATTGATCCTGGGACGGGCATAGGAGAGAGAGCAGAGATGGACGCCTCTCTCAGTTCAAGTCAGCATCTCAGAGAACTGATTGATTTACTGCTCCCTGCTCCTTCTTTTAAAAATTGACTTTCCCTGACACCATAGTTGTATGTGAGCACCCAGGCTTGCGAGCCACCTACGGTCTGTCTTCCTGAAATCTGATGTCATCATGGAAAACCCAGAGTCCATGCTGGCTTGGCATCCTGCTCACTGACAAATAGGCCAAGCCAGAGATTCTAGTTACCATTAGACAGACCAGGATGTCCCAGTGCTACTGATTAAAAAGCAGGCCCTGACCCTCCCTGGTGACACAGTGGGTAAAGCACAGCACTAAGAAGCTAGAGACACTTCAGCATGAGTTCAAGCCCCACACGCCCCGTAGGTGATCTACATGGCGTGGCAGACCTCTCCTGACCCTCCCCCTTCTCCCCTCAGCAGTGTACTTGTCAATCTGCCTGTTCTGCTCCCCGCTCTATCTCTGGTGAATCCTCTCACCACTCTTGCACCTCTGGCCTATATGCCTGTTCTGTAGGCATAAATAAATAACTCTTTTTAAA